CAATGCTGTCTGCTATGAAAGAGGAAGCTTTGGGAGGTTTGCTCTCCCCATCAAGGGCTCAGTGACAACAGAAAGCATGTTCACATGGAAACAAAAACTAAGCTGATATTGTGAAATTCCAACTGCAGGATCTAGGTGGGAGGTATATTTTGGCCATGATATATTTTGTATTATTGACAAAAATACATACCTAAAGCAATGAAAGGAAGGGAGGGCGGGAGGAAGAAAGGAGAGAAGGAAGGAAGGGGTCTGGCTGGTAGTTTGAGTCCATCTTGGTGGAGAGAGAATGACAGCCTGAGGCAGCTGGCCACACTGTGCCCATAACGAGGAAGCAGAGAGCAGTGCGCACTGCTGCTCAGAAAACCTGCTCCTTTAATTCAGTCCAGGGCCCCCACACGTGGACTGCTCTTCCCCACAGTCAACCCTCTGCAAAATCCAGGGCTGTGTTTCCATGCTGATTCTAAAACCAGCCAAATTGACAATAAAGATTAATTAAAACATTTTGGAGTCTTTTCACTTTCCTTTTTTTGTTTTTTGTTTATGTGTTTGTTTTCTGGGACAAGGTTTCTCTGTATAGCCTTGAACTCACTTTATAGACCAGGCTGGCCTCGAACTCACAGAGATCCTCCTGCCTTTTTGCTTTCCCGACTGCATGGATTATAGGTGTGTGTCACCGTGCCTGGCCTTTCTACCTTCCTTAATGTTTAAATTTTGTCAACTAAAAACTAGGAAAGAGAATCACTGAGGCATGGCCTACCAAGCACCCTGCCCACTGCCTGTTTGGCATTATTTATTAGCAAGTATTCACTAAGCCACTGGGTGACATCATCCCAGAGGCACAGGATGGGCACATCAGACCTTGACCCCAGACACAGCAAGCATTTCTAGAGAGCCAGGGACAAGCATTAAATGACGCCCACACGAGCATGGTGGGTGCTCACAGTCCAGAATGAGAGCGAGAACCGTGAGGAAGGGGTAGGAATGTCGCACTAGGGTCTGGACCTCTGAGCAGCAGAGGGAGGACCACAGGCTGAGGAGGAGCCATGAGAGACCCAGCTGAGGGAACCACCCACTTGTCTTTGTGGGTGCTCTAGCTCTAGGATGGCGTAGGGAGCCCCAGGGTGCCACAGACTCAAGTGCTCACGTTTGTTCCTCTCTGGGAATCAAGCTGTGGTAAACTCAGCAAGCCAGATACCATCAGGCTTCCTTGACCAGTGAACTCTATGGTGTGGCCAGGGTTCCTGCTGGGCCACTTCCTGGAACCAGCCAGTGACCTGGAACTGGCATTAGGGATCTCAGTGCCCCTTTAGCCAGGTCATGAGGCTGATCCAGACAATTCTCAGGAACACCATTAACAAATGAAAAGACGTTCAAGCTCATACTCATGCATAATTAAAGAAATGCATATTGAAGTTCAATAATTTCACCCACATGCTGTTTAAAAGCTAAGGAGATTGATAGCATGGCACCCTGGTGAGACTGAGGGCCCAGCCTCTGCGGGGTCATTTGGCACTAACTGCCACATTTGAAATTGGAACCACCCGTCAGCTCAGCATTTTCACTGGACTGAATCTATTCTGAGACATTCAGAGATAGGCTCTTTAAAAACATGGTACAAGAAGGGTAATGGAGTTAAGCCCACCCCATGTGTGACACTGGGCTATTTAACTGCAGAAACAGCTCAAATGCTCGCCAGCAGGGGCAGGGCAGAGGTTAGTGAGAGCAAAGCACCCAGGAGACTACAGCAGGTAGAAACTGAATGGCAGCTGGCCCAGGGGTCTGAGAGCAGCAGCTCCGGTGCCCTTTTTCTCTGGCCTTAGTGAGAGTGAGCTCTGGGCTCTTACCTCCTAAACGAGGCCATACTGCCTGGAGAGGTTACTAAAACACTGGTCTAGACACTAATCCCCAACCATCTTGGAGCTTAATCTCTGGATTTTCGTGATGGAAATGGTCTCTATCTAGTCCCCAATTTCAGCCTATCTCTTAAGTGATTACAGTTACCTCTTTTATATGGCAAATGTTGCAGTAGCCTTGATCAGGTTCCATGAAACCTTTTGAGAGAAAGCTATTTCTTCCTGTCAAAGAGTGTACTGCACCTCTGGCCTCGTGTGGAGACCTAACGTTCTAAACTACTCAAAACACAGGAGTTAATCCACTGGGCCTGTCACTCTTCTAGCCATAGGACCACCCCTCAGAAAGACCAATTTACCCTACATGGTGCTAAAGAGATGGGAGAAATAACTATTCCCTTAAATGAGATAATGTGCTTCTGCTTCTCAGAATCCCAGCCCTCTGGACAGTTGATACCGAGGCTGTGTTAGCCATGACCTCCCGGAGAGTCCTAGCTCAGACTTGTCTTCCGTCTCTGATGCTGGCCAGAGCCTAAGTACACTACCTCACACACTCTGGGCTTTTATTTAATTATTTAATTATTTATTTTACTCTTTGATGCTACCTACCCGCCACATGGCTAACTCAAAGTGAGAGAAGAATGAGAGGAAGGAAGGACCACGGTCGATATTTGTCCTTAGCATCTGCCCCTCTGCATGTAAGATCTGAGGAACTCACCTAGCTTAGGGTGTTGCACCATAGAAGCTGGAAATGGCCCCTGGCACCAGGGCTGTTGTTGCAGAGCAATGAGAACAAAGTGTAGCTCTTATTTCAAAGGGACCCAAAGCCTTGGAAGTACTTGGGCTTCCTGCCACTTGCATTTGAGTAAATGATACGCTAAATGTGGTGGTTCGTTTAACTGTTAACCTGACACAACCTGTAATTACATGGGAAGAGTCTTAACTGAGGAATTATCTAGATCGGGTTGGCCTGTGGGCAGATCTGTGGGAGACTGACTCCATTGGCAGCTGATGTGGAAAAACCCAGCCTACTGTGGGTGGAACCATTCCCTAAGCAGAGAGGTCTGAACTCTATAAGTCCAGCTAAACACAAGCAAACAAGGAACATGAAAACACTTGTTTCTCTCTGCTCTAGACTAGCCACTTTGAATTTCTGCTTTGATGTCCCCTCAGTGATGGACTGTGACCATAAACGTTTGCTTTCTCCTCTTTTTTTTTTTTTTTTTTTTTCTTTTTTGGTCAGGGTGCTTCGTCAGAGCAATTGAAATGAAACTAGAACATTAGAGTACAGCAAGAAGACAGGATACATGAGAAGTATACACAATGTCTCATGAAGCTCACAGATGTGAACTCATTAGCCTGGGCCCCCGCTGAAACCAGAAACCTGGAGACTGGGACAGTATCTGCAGATCTTCTCCCTGGAGCTGATCCCCCAACTCTGCCTTTCTCGCATCAAGTGCCAGATTCCTGCGGAGGAGCATCTCAGAAGCCACTAAGGGAGTCACAGGAAAAGGCAGGTGCCACAGACATGCTGTTCTGACCACCCAGGTGCCGGAGAGCCCTCCCTGAACACAGCTTAGTGGGTCGGAAGGGCTGCCAGGGTAAAGTCCCACAGACTGAGTGGATTTAATTATCTCCTCAATTCTGGAGACCAGAAGTTCAAGATCAAGGTGTCAGGAGGGTTGGTTCCTTGGGAGAGCATCCATTCTTTGCACTTCTCCTAGCTTCTCACAGCTTGCCAGTGTGCATCTTCATTAATGTCTTTGCTGTGTTTGTCTGTTTGGCTTCTGGATGCATTATCCTGATCCCTGCCTTCAAGTTCTAGTATTTTCTCTGTGCACACATCTCTGTAAATTTCCCTTTTTGTTTTCCACCACTCACCTTTGAACTACCTCTTTTCTCTGCCAGCCCTAACCTGGAGCACTGGCTAAAAACAGTCATGGCCTCCTGCCTCTTCAGAGGCGTGGAAGGGACTGCAAGGAGTCTGCATTTTAAAAGGCTACTCAGAGACAGGAGAGACCGTTCAGTGATAAAAACTTGCTTCCCTATCATGAAAAAATCAAGTTCAAATCCCAATACCAATATCCAGTGGTTCCCAAATGCCTGCAATCCAGGTTCACGATAGCTGAGCTTCCAGAGACGGCCATAGCTCCCTGGTACACACACCTCAGTACTAAAAGCAAATCTATAACAACAAAACTGTGTTAAACCAATTGCAGTGGTGCATGCCTTTAATCCCAGCGTATGAGAAGCAGGTGCTTCTGTGAATTCAAGGCCAGCCTGATCTGCATAGCATGCTCCAAGATAGACAGGACTACCTAGGAAAATTGTTTCAAAAAAAAAAAAGCAAAAAAGCAAAAAGGCAAAACAAAATAAAACCCAACAGAAACAACAAAAGCAAAACAAACGGAAAACTCCACAAAACTTTATTTAGACCATCATACTACCTGCCTCACTAGGCTAATGGAGAGAGCGCCCCACACTTCGTGGGAAAACGTGCATTCATTCCTCACTTTTTTGGTTTTGTTTTTAGCTTTGTTTTGGTAAGACAGGGTTTCTCTATATAAACCCACAGCGAGGTCTGGACCTGGCTATATAGACGAGGGTGGCCTCAAACTCAGAGATGCCTCTGAGTTTGGGATTAAAGGTCTGGGCAAGGCGGCTCCTCATCCCTCATTCTCTGTTAGTCTACTAGCAGTCAAGCTTCCAGAACTGGCATCAGAACTTCAGCCTTTCACCCTCTTCCAAACTGTGCAAGCAGTGACCCCCTGCCACCATTCCTTTCCTTTGCTCTGATACTTCTGAAGTCCTTGTCCACGCAGACTTAGCCAATCGCTTCCCGCTCAGTCAACAACTGAACCTACTCGCGGCACAGAGCCAGCGGGGGCGGGGGCGGGGGGGGGGGGGGGGGGGGGGGGGGGGGGGGGAATGGGTGGGGCTCGGGATGAAGAAGAGGAATCTGCTAGGCCGGGTTCCAGGTGCTGCCTTTCGAGCCACCGCCCTTTGGGTGACTCGCTCAGCGGGGCCGTCCCTGCAACTTCGCCGGGGAAGGAGGGGGCGTGGCCAATCCATAGCCACAGCCAATCACAGAGGGGTCCTCTAGTGAAGGATGTAGCTGGCAACTTCAGAAGGGACCCAAACTCGGCGGCGGCGAGTCTCGGGGTCTCTGCGCGCGCGATGGAGGGGACCCGGGAAGGCTCTGGAGGCGGCCAGGCCGAGGTCCGGACCCCGGAGGAGTCCTTGGAAAGGACGGAAGTGGAGCAGCCTCAGGTCCCCGCGAAGGCGCCACAACCCGGGCTTCCCAACGGCAGCCCGAGCCCGGAGAGGGCCGGGGGAGAGGCGTCGGACGCGGAGCTGCAGGAGCCCTCGGAGGAGAAGCCTCAGCCTCCCGCCCTGCCCGGTTCCCCGCGCGCGCCTCCGCTCAGCCTGGGCTACGGCGCCTTCCGCCGCCTGGGTTCCTGCAGCCGCGAGCTGCCGCCGCCGAGCCCCTCGTGGGCCGAGCAGCCCCGGGACGGCGAGGCCGAGCTGCAACCCTGGGCGGCGTCGGGGGAGCCGGGGCCCTGGACGCCCGTGGAGCTGCAGGTGGACGTGCGCGTGAAGCCCGTGGGCGCGCCTGGGGCTAGTCGCGCGCCCTCGCCGGCGCCGTCCACGCGCTTCCTCACCGTGCCCGTGCCGGAGTCGCCCGCCCTCGCCCGCCGCTCGGCCCCCGCGCCCCAGCGGCTGCCGCGCGCCCCGTCACCGGGCTCCACGTGGGGCCGAGGCTCGCCGCTTGCCGCGACCGAGCGGGTCGGGCCGGCTGAGGCTTGCACGGCCTCCCCGGGCTCGCCCGCCTGCCGCTGCCGCTGCCGCTGCCAGGAGCCGGGGCTGACCAAAGAAGACACCGCGCTGCTGCAGCGCGCAGGCGTGGACAGCAAGAAACTGCCGCGGGCCATCAGGCTCCTCGGTGAGTGCTCAGCGGCGCCCGCGCCCGTCCCTGAGTTAGACTAACCAGGAGTCCATCTGGCTGGCCAAGCCCGTCCTGCTTCTCTGTCTCAGAACTAATAAGAACCAAACCAGGATCCTGCTCCTACCCCGGGGGACTTGTCTTTCCTTCTCGGTGAGCGCAGCGGGTTGGAGAGGTAGAGGTGGAAAGCGCTCTGAAAGAAGGGCAGTGATTCAGAATCACGGACAGTGACGGCCTGGGCAAGTCCAAGGACCGGGCTCCGCTCTCTCCGCCCGAGGGCGGTCACCTGTCGGTGCACACCGAGCTGGCCCCGAGCCAGGCGACTGGGGCGTGCGTGCGTGCGTGTTTTCCTTTGCTGGAGACATAGAGGCGAGTCTAGCCCCGCAGACTAACTACCCCGTGTTAGTTCACTTTCTGCTGCTGTGGTAAAACCCTGGCCAAAACTAACTTGGGGAGGGAAGGAATTATTTGGCTTACAGGTTGCAGTTTATCGTCAGGGGAGCCGAAGCAAAACCACAGAGGGAAGGCTGCTTACTGGCTGGCTGCTCAGCTTGCTTTCTCCTGCCCCCTGCCCCCTCCCCACGCCGCGCCCCGTGGTAATGAAGAAAATGCCCTGCAGACTTGTCTACAGTCTGTATTTGTCAATCCGATGGATGTATTTTCTCGAGGTTACCCAGGGGCTCCGAGACTTAAAGCACTAGAAACTTGTAAGTCTGTGGGCAGTGCTCAGCAGTGTAGGGTGAGTTCGCCTTCACCGTTGCCGGTGTAAGTTTCCCCCACACTTGACGTCTCCAGCTGACACAGGCTCCCTAGTACACGGTGGTGTTATCTCACTGAGGCTCCGGGCCAGACCCGCTTACCTCACCTTAGTGCTAGATCCTCTGCTGTCAATTCCAGTGGTAACAGGGTGGATCCTTTTGCTCGCGCTCTTTGCCTCCCGCCTCATGGTTAAAGACCCTCATGTCCTGGGTCCAGGAGAGCCTCCATTTTGCGGGCCAACTGACCAGCAGTCTCACCTCTATCTGAACCTTAATTCCTCTTTGCCAAATGGCCTAGTGTGTTTATTGGTTCTAGGGATAATGACATGGACATCTTTAGTGAGATGTTATAACTTTTTATCAATTTTTTTTGTATTTATTTTAAATTTTATGTGTATGAGTATCTGCTTGTATGTCTGTGTACCTTATGCTTCAGGTGCCTACAGAGGCCAGAAGAGGGTGTCAGATCCCCGGGACTGGGATTAAAGGCAGTTGTAAGCCACTCTGCAGGCGCCGCCAGTACTCTTGGCCACTGAGCCGTCTCAGTGCTGAAGTGACATTATTGGATTTGTTCTAGAAGTTCAGCGCTGTCAGTTCAGCGCTGACAGTCCAGTGGAGGAAAGCTGCGGCAGAGAGGAGTAATGGTAAAAGACAGGGCTCAGAAGCAGACTCAATGGGCGGGACCACGGGCGGGTACAGCTAAGCTAGCAGAAGGATGGAGATCTCTCCCATGATTCTGAGGGATAACTGGATGGTGGATCTTTTACTCTTCCGCAAAGAAAAACACGGGAAGAGATGGAGAAGTAAATAAGAAGGTGTACGGTATAGTGAGAATTTTGGGGTTCGGTTTCTTAAAAAAGAAACAGAAATATTATAAAAAATATTATAATAAAAATATTATAAAAATATTTTTGTTTTAATCCCAGGAATGGGGGATATGAAGCTGCCTCGCAGCAGCTGATTCTGATTTGCCTCGTGCTCTGGTTGGGGTGTGATTTTGCCAGGCTGCAGATAGTTCCTATGATTGTGTGACTTTTGGAATCGTGGGAGCTTTTTAGGAGGTCTGTAAATACTAGGGCCCGGAGAGGTGGGTTGGGCTGGCTGTTGGTGGTTGCAGTATATTAAGTCATACGCAAAAAGAAAAGAAACTAAATTCTGCCCCACCCCCTCCATCAAGGAACCCAGAGCCCCTAATCAGCAGGAAGTAGCCTAATGATAACTTTCTGACCCCTGATTTTATTCAGGGATTGCTTTCCTTCTCTATCCTTTTCCCCTTCTTATCTAGTGTTAGGGGCTTGAAAGGGTGGAAGAAAGAAGAAACCAACCACAAACCAAACAGAAATAATGGCTGCAGCCTTGGTCTGCAGGATGTTGCTTGGATTAAGGAACTACACTAAGATCTCCTGGGAGATCAAGTGTGTTATCAAAACGAGAGGCAGTCTAAGCAAGACCCTGAATTGCTGGACCCCAGTCAGTAGATGCCACAGGCCAGCTACTTCTCAGTCCTGTGTGAACTTGGAAGGAGCAAGCCACTGTGGGAACAGCACTGCTTGGTCTAGTCCTTTGTTTCTTTGGACAGGTAAATTGAAGGAACTGTCTAGCTGTTAGTGAAGGTACTGAAGGCCAGGAGACATTTTAAGACAGGGTTTTGTATATGCTAGGCTGGCCTCAAACTCACTATATAGCTGAAGAATTACCTTGCACATCTGATTGTCTTGCCCCAACCTCCAAAGTGCTAGGATGTAAAAGTAACTTTTATTCTCCTGAAGTAATTGTCATCACCAAGGCTTACTGCCCTCATCTGCTAACCTAGGCCTAGGCCTGGAAGCTTCTAGCCTCAGTACAATCTAATGTAGGCCTAGAATGTTTTCAGTCTCCAAGACTTACTGCAAAATAAGCTCAGAGACCTTTCTAGTTCTTTCTGAAATCTTGTGGTTGGTCCAACTCAGCTGTTCTAGCTCAAATACCTCAAAGGTGACTGATTCAAACTGGCTTCTCTCAGTTTCTGACTGAATTGCTCTGCTTAGCCACAAACTAACTGTAGCAATCTGGTCTAATCATTTGGCTTCTTCTCATTCTCTGGCTCAACTGTCTCTGCTGACCTGCACTAAACTCACTCTTCCTTCATTCAACTAACCTTTACCTTCATTGTTTGGGATTAAAGGTGTGTACCAAGGGCATGTCTGTAGTCTAGCCACAGTATTCATGTTGCTGGATTAAAATCCCTCTACACTAGGATTACAAGAATATGCTACCATACCTGATTTATGTGGTACTGAGGATGCATGTTAGGCAAGTACTCTATCAAGCTGAGCTGAGAGAGGGGAAGGGAAGGCTGTAGCCCCCTGTGGTAAATGCTTCTCCCTCAGATCTTGGCTTGGACTTAAACTCTTTTACCCCCCCCCCAGGGCAATTTAGGGTGTCTCTGTCTCATACTATCATTTGGACTGTGCTTCATTGTCCCAGGATTCTCCACACAGGCTATGATTGCCTCCTTCTAAGTATCTCTTTGAGGGGTGGAAGGTAGAGGCATGGACTTGCCCACATCTCTGATACCTGGCACATCAATGTCTTCTCAGACAGTCTGTCTATCTGTACAAGTCAGAACTTCTTATTCCCTGGATCCCTCTGGGGAGAAGACAGGGTGTTTAATCTTAGTGGTTGTCTTGCAATTAGCATACCTCCTATGGAATAGGCTATGAAGGCATATCCCACCTGGCCCCAGTCCTCCATAGTCCAGGCAGTGGGGAACATTCACAAAGCAACAGCCCAAGTCAGTCTGACCATAGTGTAGAGGCCAGGGAGGCTGCTGTAATGGGGGGGGGGGTCCTTTGGAGGTGAGCCAACATTAAAATTCCAAAGATGGTCCAGGTTTGGATGGGGTCTTGGGTGGTTAGGATTTTGAATCAAGAATGTTCTTGGTGCTCAGTGCAGAGGAAGACCAATGTCACCATATAGAGGGGAGCAGGGGTCCTGAGGAGGCGAACCTGTTAAGCCTGACACAGGTATAACCCTCCCCCACTTTTTTTTCTTTTGGGGACATTATGTCCCTTAGCAGTAACTGCAGAATTAATTTCAAAGTCCATGGTTGGAGGAAGGAAGAAAACATATTAAGGGGACCCAGATCTGTCTTGTGTTTTTACAAGATGAGTGTGTTTACAGTGTATTTGTGTTACTTTGTGGCTAAGAGATGCTTCATAAGCTTGGAGTGGTGACTCAAACCTGCAACTCCAGCTCCCAAGAAGCAAAGGACTAAGAGTTATTGGCCACCCTGGGCTACATGTTGAGACCCTGTCTTTAAAACAAAACAGGCAGGTGTGACCTGTAATCCTTACATGCTGGAAGGAGTAAGAAGTTTGAAGCTAGCCTGGGTCAGAAAGCTCCAGGGCACCTGAGCTATAAAAACCTATTTTCAAAAGGTGAAAAAGAAAATGGTGGTGTAGGGCCTCACCAAGCTCAGCAGTTTGGAACTAGCTGGGTCTCCCTACTTGGCGTGGGAGAGCTTATTCACCTACTGGGTGGTGGTGATTGTTTTTGTGCTCTGCTTTCTGAAAGTGAGAGCTAATTGCAGGCTCAGCCACAAGAGTTACATTGACTATAGTGACTGGTGGGTTTATCTTCCTTGTCTTAGCCCAGGCTTCCAGTTCTGCTTTTATAATTTTCGAGCCTTCAGTCAGGGCTGGAACATAGCTCAGCGGTAGAGCATTTGTCTACCATGAACAAGACCCTGGTCCAGTGCCGTTTGAAAAAAAAAAATCACGAACCTCAATTTCTATATATTTGGTGGTGGTGGTTTACTTTTAACGTGTATCAGTGTTTTGCCTGCATTTATGTGTGTGCATCATCTTTCTGGTGCCTGCAGAGGCCAGAAGAGGGCATCAGATCCTTTGAGACCGAAGTTGTGAGTTCCCACGTGGGTGCTGAAAATTGAGAGTCCTCTGGAAAGGCAGCCAGCGTTCTTAATTCCTGAGCCATCTCCAGGCCCTGGACTGCCCCTGCCTTAGCCTCCTGAATTTTGGGACTACAGGCTTGCATCACCACAGCTGGCTATCTGGCTTCTTTGGCTTAACATTTTTAAGGTTTGTTCATTCGTTTAACACACTTCTGATCACTGAAGGGTTTTCTCCAATACAAATGAAAAAAAAAGGGGGGGGGGTTTGAAAGGTTCCTGAGACTTTTGAGGTTTAGTAACAGCAAATGTGTTCTATTAAAACCTTGCAAACTCTCATCTCTTTGTGTGGACACTTAACATTCATATATGTATGTAGCATATGAGTACACACATTCTTTTTCTAAGTCAATTATTCTTGGTTCTGTGGAACTCAATGTATAGACCAGCCTAGTTTGGAACTGACAAGAGATCTGCCTGCCTCTGCCTCTTATGTGCTGGGATCAAAGTTGTATGTCACCATGCCTGGCTCAACTATTTTTTAAAATAAATCCTGCTGCAGGACCTTTTGTTTTCCTTGCAGTCTGAAAAAACATGGGAACTGTCTTCTTCCCGCCCTTGTCCTCACTCATCCCCGAGGAGGGAGTGACCCCAAGGGCCCTTGCAGCCAGGTTCTAGGAGGGAGCACTCCTCTTTACTGTTGCTCTTCAAGCCTCTGTGTCCCGAGAGGTTTCAGAAGGCTTAAGAGGGGTGAGCACTGAGCTGTTGCACTTCTCATGACATGGCTGCTGCTGCCTTTCACTCTCCATCTTCCACTGGCTTGCCAGGTGTTTTTCGGCTTGACGGGACCTAGAATCAGGCAGGATCTGGGCCTCTGGACAGCCTATAGGGATTACCTTGACTGTGTTAACTGATGTGAGAAGCCCTGTCTTACCGTTCCCTGTGCTGGGATCTTGGATGGTATAAAATGAGGATGGATGCTGGAGATGGTGGTACATTTGTAATTCCAGCACTCAGGAGACAGAGGCAGATGGATCTCTTGAGTTCAAGGCCAGCCTGGTCTACAGAGTGAATTCCAGGACAGCCAGGGTACACAGAGAAACCCTGTCTCAGAGGAAAACGTAAAAATAAAGTGGGGACAGGAAACTGCACTACCACGCATCCCTCCCTCACTGTTTCCTTGTTGTGGAAGTGATGTGACCAACTGCTTCAGGCTCCCATTGCCACGATGGGCTATACACTTGAATTGTGAGCCATCATAAACCCTTTCTGCCCTAAGCTGCTTTTGTCAGTGTATTTTATCAGAGAGCATTAAGACTGTATCTTGGGCTGGGCTTTTTAGCAACTTCTTTAAAAATACACTTTATTGTGGTGGACACGCATGTAGCATATGTGCAGGGGACAACTTGTAAGAGTTGATTTTCTCCTTCTACCATGTGGGTACCAAAGGTAAACATCAGTCGTGGTGACAAGCGCCTTCATCTGTTGAGCCATGGTTACAGCCTGTAATCCCAGTTTCTCAGAAGGCTAAGGTAGGAGGATCACATGTTTGAAACCAGATTGGGAAACACAGAAAGACCCTATTTCAAAACATAAGGATAGTTGGGTGTGGTGTTTCATACCTTTAAACCCAGGACTTTAGAGGCAGAGGCAGGTAAATTTTTTATTTTAGTTCAAGGCCAGCCTGGTCTACACAGTGAGTTCCAGGACAGTCAGGACTACGTAGAGAGAACCTTTCTCAAACAATCAAACAGAAAACTCCTAAGGATAGGATAACAGAAAATAGATAGTGTGCCTGTCTCCTGTCACCCATACTCTCACTCCCTGCCCACATCCTCCCAAATACCTGGGGCATTGGGCCCTGGAGCCATAGACAAGGCTGCCAACAACTCACAGTTGTAGAGAACTGAGTTTGCATCTGTCTTCACTTAGTGGCCTCAAAGACCTGGAGAGGCAGCTGGGATTTTGATGAAAAACTTAACATCTAGATTAAGTCAGAACTTGACCTTGATTAACCTTGTGGAGTTACAATCTAGCTGCAGTGAGAATTCTGGAATTTTGGTTTAAAAAACACAGATATAAGAATGTTTTTGTTTTAATCTTAGGTGTGGGGATGTGGGGCTGCTTCAGGTTGGCAGCAGCTATGACTTGCCTTGTATTTTAGCAGAGGTGTGGTTTTGCCAGCTAAGGATAGTTTGTGCAACTGTATGATGTTTTGGAACACTGGGAACTTTTCAGAGAGTATATAAATGCAAGAGTCTCGAGAGGGTTGGTTGCAGGTTGTTGGTAGTCGTGCTTAAAAAAAGAAACAAGAAAAAAATTAGATTCAAGGATCTCCCTTCCTCTCCCCCCCTTCTTTTTCATCCAGTGATAGGGGGTGAAACTGGAGGGGATAAAGGGTGGGAAAGAAAAGAACCCAAAAGCAAAAGTCCAGCCTCTGCTCTTTCTTCTGTGGCATGTTACCCATAGTGTCCTGGCTCCTCTGTCACCTGCTGCCTGTAGACACCTCACCCACATCTGTGGCATCTACACTACTACTGTCTGGCACACAGGTGCACTGCACACGGTGTGGGTGTGTGGCAATGGCTTATTCTGTTTTGAAGAGCCTTAATCCTCTAGTCAAGTGAGAAAGAACTAGAGTATATTCTAGCATGTTTCTCCTAAATATGATCTAACCTGGGTGTTTTGCCTAGGTATCCTGATCCAAGGTGGCCACAGAGCTGGTATGGGTGGGATGCGGACCAGTGCGGTTGGGGTCGTCTAACTTGCCTTTGTTCCCTCTCCAGGGCTGTCCCTGTACATGAAGTCCCTGCGCTGGGCTCTGGTGGTCATGGCTGTGTTGCTGGCAGTCTGCACTGTAGCCACTGTGGCACTGGCCTTTAGAGGTGGTACGGTATCCCATCCCTATTCTGCGTATTATTTATAGCACCTTGAGACCAGCATGAGATCAAAGGTGCAGCCCGAAGTCATTAGCTTTTTTAACAAAGACAAGAAAGCTTGACCCTTTCCTCCCATCAGTCATAACTTGTGACCTGACTGGTATTGAGAATACCAGTCCCCATCCAGGGGAACTCAGCATGGTGTGAAAGCTGTATAGCACTCTAGGGTGCTCTTTCCCCACCATCCTTCCCACCTGAAGTCTTGCCAGCTCCCTATCAGTAGATTCACCCCCCCTCAGCCAAAGTCATGGGCAGGTTTTGTTTTTGTTTATTCAGTGTATTCATGCATAGATCCTTAAAATCTTCCCTTGACTCACAGATCTCTGCTTTCAGGAGCCAGGTGCCAGCCATGCCCTCAAGGCTGGATGTGGTTTCAGGAACACTGTTACTATCTCTCTGAGGAAGCTCAAGACTGGGAAGGAAGTCGGGCATTCTGCTCAGCCCACCATGCCACACTGCTCCTCCTGAGCCACACCCAGGTGAGAAGGGCTGGCTAGGAGAGGGGATGTATCATCCCAGATCCCTGAATCTTAGTCCTGGAAGGAACCTCTAGATTAAGTCCTTCATACTATGGGAGTCACCAAGGCCCAAAGGAATAAAGTGACATGCACAGGAACCAGACATCAGGTGTCCAAGGGTTTCATTCTAAGAAGGCAGAGCTGGGGTGATCCCATGCAACATGGGTTACCCAGTTAATAGTGAGCTCAGGAGCCAGGTTTGCTGGGAGAGACCCATGAGTCCTCCTAGGATGTGGTATAGAAAACACAGCATGTTTAGTGGTGTGCAAGTGTCAGGTACTGGCTCTAAGTGCTGGGGAACAAAGCATCTCAGAAATCACCTAGAGCCTTGTGACCATAGCACTTTTCTTTTTTTTCTCTTTCCTGTCTTCCTTCCTTTCTTCTTTCTTTTTCCTTTTTGACAGGCTCATTATGTAGTCCTGGCTGGCCTGAAACTTTCTATGTAGACCAAACTGCCTCAGACTCACTCTGCCTCCTGAGTGCTGAAATTCAAGGCATGTATCACCATGCTCAGCTTAAAAGATTTATTTTTATTTGTGTGTGTGTGTGTGTTTCTGCATTTGAGTACAGGTGCACATGGAGACTAAAGAGGTCAGATCCCCTGGATCTGGAATTACAGGTGGTTATGAACCACCTGATATAAATGCTGAAAACTAAATACAGGTCCTCTGAAAGAGCAGCAAGAGAGAAGCCAGTCACCTCTCCAATCTTGTGATTCTCTTTCTATGTGTGTGTGTACCTGTCTGTATGTCTAAATGAGGGTTATATTGCTGTGATAAAAAAAAACAAAAAAACAAAACAAAACAAAACAAAAAAAACCATGACCAAAGGCAACTGGAGGGGGGGGGGTGTTTCTCTCCTGTTAGAGCTTGTAATCCATCATTCTGGGAAGTCAGGGCAGGAGCTGATGCAGACGCCATGGAGGAGTGCTGCTTACTGTCTTGCTCCCTATGACTTGCTTATGCTATCCAAGACCACCTGCCTGGAGTAGCACTGCTTACAATGAGCTGGGTCCTTTCACATCAGCCATTAATCAAGAAAATACACAAGAGACTTGCTTTTTGTTGTTTTTCAAGAGAGGGTTTTAGTGTGTAAAAGGCCTGGCTGTCCTAGAATTCACAGAAACCCACCTGCCTTTGCCTCCTGAGTGCTGAGATTAAAGGCATGCACCACCACATCTG